ACGACGACGGATGGAAAGTGATTGGAATAGGTCACTTGAGCAAAGCTCAGGTGACCTAAAAATGTGGAAGTTGGTTGGCGGTTGGTATACCCATGTCAGGAAAAATGTCAATTATGACCTTTGCAGAAATTACTTGTTGAAAATATTGTTGACTTTGTCCGAAAAGTAACATTTGAATGCAGAATTCTAGTGGCGCAAAATTGCAATGAATAATGGAATTAATGAAAAACTTAACTGAACATGCATTCCTGAAGTATCCATTTATTGACTATTTTCGAGAAAATTGTAAGAAAATGTGTCATATCTACAGAATAATAGCATATATTTCCACTGAGCATAAAGCCAACAAGGCTGCCTGAAGTTGGGGAAAAGCATGCAAAGCAAGTGCGATTTTACCTGTACACCATTCAAAACACCTTCAGGTAATCTGGCTTGACTTGTATCAATAGCCTTGTTAGCTTCATAAATTATTGTAAAATATCCAATGAAAATACAATGCCATCATTCTTGAGATTTGAAGTATTTTCCCGATAATAGTCAATACACTGATACTTCAGAAATGCATGTACAGGTAAGTGTTTTCATGAATTATAATATTCAATGCAATTTTGTGCCACTTTCAGACAAAATCAAGAATATATTCGACAATTAATTTCTGCAAAGGTCATTATTGACATTGTTCTTGACATGGGTATACCAACCAAGTTCCAATTTTTTTTATTTTGAAGAAAAGTTATGAGCCCATCACATACTATAAACACTGACAAAGACATGTATGAAATACCTTAATACACACATACGTTTATGTTACGGTCAACCTTGACCTAAAGTGGGGATTTGATTTTCAAGTACACTGGATTCACCCGAGTATATATATTCGGCTGTATGTTAAATGCTCTGCATCACATTTATCTCCTGTTTTATCAATAGATGCATCTTATTCAACTTCAGTCTAGTCTCGCATTCCCCAGACTCTCGACTGCCTTGAGCGAGAACCAAATACAAATCTTACCAGACTCTTTCGAAACATGAGTGGAGATAAGCATCTCAATGAGAGGTTGAGCGAGACGGACTTCAGTCATGATAAATATTTCATGGATAAAAATGTAGCTTTAAAGACCTAGACTAGTGTTTCTAAATTTGTTAGTATCATATAAAATACAGAGTAATTGCCCTTTTTACCTGTGTTCACATAATTTGCAATATTTTGCAAATGGTAAGGGGGCAAGCAGAAGGAAGCGTAATTTTGTTGTTTCTCATGAACCGCTTATATGCAGAGTTATGGCCCTTTATTAATTTCGCAATACAAAAATTGTCCAGAGCTGTTTGATCTCCAGTTAATGATCTTATGTGCTTCAGCATCTGGGGAAGATACAGTTCTTGTTTTTCTATATCTGTTTATTTATCTGTTGTATCTTCCATCTTGCTCTTTTATTATATTGAAGAATATAAAATTGGCCTGAACAAGTGGACCCTAAAGGGCATAAGACAGACAAGTATTTTTACAACTCTGCTATACTCTGTTCAATATGGGATTAGCCTTCAGGAAATTTAGAATTTGATGGTGTTGAGGCATTTTCATATTTTGGAAACCTATTAAGATTTTGCACATATTTATGTTATATATATGATCCAAGTATACCGGGATTTGGTCTCCAGCCATGCAAATGTTTATAAAAGGCTGTGTCAAAAGGCTGTGATTCAGTGTTTTTGTTACCTAAATTTTACAACAGCCTGTTCCTTTATGAATTTGGAAAATAAAGCATTATTTGAATTGAATTTTGTAATGTATTTCTCACTCAGACTCAGTTTTTGGTCAATTTGATAAAAATAAGACACTTTTCCGCCTGTATTCAGCACTAAAACTGGACCAAAATCAATCACTGGTATTGGGTGTTCTCCCATTTATTGTCCCCACAATACATCTTTTTTATGTCATTTCAATTGTGTGTGTTTTCTTTCAGGCACCAATGCTGGCAGATCTGTATAAAGTTTGTCATCTGTCCACTGGTAATATATTTAACCTCAGTCCTATACGCTTGACTGTCATGTATTCAAATGAAATATGTTTGTTCCTCATTATTCTGTATATATATATCAACTAATTATTTTTTGTATCTACCCATTTATTTATTTTTGACAATTTTAACGTACAATAAAGCAATTCAAGTCATGTTCATTGATCTGTATTATAGAAGAATGATTTCGACCAAATATTCATGTAAATTTGAACCTTATAGAAAAAAGGATAAAAGTGCTTTTATTTAGCATTTTTAGAAGTCAGATAGAATTTTCTTTGATTTTTTGAGAGTCAGTTCTTATTCAAAATAAACCTGTGCTTTCAAACCTTAGAGTCGAAACTCATTTTAAGAAGTCTAAAACATGTTCTCAAGGGTCTATTGAAAGGCCAGATAAAATATATACCTGTAACTACCCACGCTAAATTTTTCGAACATGTAACGGGAAACAAACATGTTTTTTTTGCTATACACTCATTTCAAATTAATAACCAAAAAGTGAATGATAATTAAATTAGTAAGAATGTTTATAAAATTCTGAGTGATAGTGTTGTATAAATTTATCCGAGTGATTGTTTAAGAGTCAGATTTTGCAGATATTTTTTTCCAAAGAAATCATTTTACAAATCCTTTACTTATATTTGGTAATTAAATTCCTTTGATTTTCAGAGCAGTGGGCCATTTTCAGCAATTTTAGGCAATATCAAAGTTAAGAGGAGCCATTCTATGCAAAATTGAAAGAATATTGGAACATGGAGGGGTCAATTTCAGTTTTGAGGGGTCAATCGGCCATGGCCCCCTTCAGGATTATCCCTGCAATTTCAATTACAATGTAGTACATTTATTTCAGAATATGATTGAGTCCCAGAGAGCACTTTTGCTGTATTTCTCAAGTTCACATCACAGATAACAAGTTGAAACTCTAAGACAAAATAGCGTTTTAGTCAGAAGTCCTACATTTCTTTGTATTCCATTCTCCAAATTTCAAAGGACTTGGGACATTAACGGTTGTTTTTGGCCTCATAAAAAGTAAAGATTTCGACTTGAATTTATTTTGTCAATTGCTGTTTTCGGTGCACATTTTTTCCAATGGGTGTGCGTAAATGCCTTACCATAGCAACAAAATTTGCATTGCTATGCAGAAATAATAAGGTGTTTTTGGACAGTTATCATGCAGAAATGAAAGCCTGTGCACTGACAAACAAAAATTCCTTTCTACGAATGAACACTGGTATGACAATGTTTAAGCTTGTCAAATTTTATTTTGTTTGTTGCATGCAGAATCTTTCAAAAACTGAAAAGTGCTTACTTAATTTCCTTCAAAATGGTCAATTTTCAACCAAATGGCGCACACCAGACGATTTTATTATGAAAATGCGTGTTTATGTCTCTCTTTGTAATGCCATATCTCCTAAACCAGTTGTCGAATGAATTTCATATTTCAATACTTCATTTTTTTAACATTTCAGATATATTGAATTTTCATCGTGTTTCATCTTACAGGGGATATGCTGAGAGCTGTAATTGCTTCCGGGTCAGAGTTAGGAAAACGTGTAAAAGGAGTCATAGACGAAGGCAAGCTGGTCAGTGATAGTCTAGTAGTGGAGCTTATCGATGAAAACCTTGGAAAACCAGAGTGTAAAAATGGATTTCTGCTGGATGGATTTCCTCGCACTATCAAACAGGCAGAGGCTGTAAGTGATAGGTTTGCATGGCTTACCTCCCTTGATGAGTTCACATGAAGAAATTTACCATTCCTCTCAAAAATTAGGAATTCCATCACAGTGTAATTTGTAGGAGACTTTGTATTAGTTTTACTCTCAGAAAGCTTGTTTAATTTACTCATTCACCCCTGAAAGTTCATAATGAACTATTCCAACATTTGAATTGGAAGAGTTTAAATGCATCTTCAGAGGTGAATGAGATAAAGAATGTCTTTCTGTTTTGGTCAGGTTAAGCAGTTAGAACTGCAGATGAGCATGTGAAATTGAATAGACACTCTGATGGCAAAAATTTACTCATGCTCAACTGGGTATCAAAGATTTATTCGATCTCTAGATTACTTTTTACCCAAAAGTATCCTATAAATGTGCACACTTTTGCTAGAGTTGCTTTTCTGAAGTATTGCCCGAAGTACATATATATGAACTGCTAACCCTTTCACCACTGAAGACCAAAATGAACTCCTCCACATCAATGCATGGTAGAGTCTACTTAATTTACATAGGGATGAAAGGTCTAATGTCCATTTGACCACATGTAGGGAGTTGAGCATTATCATCCTGGTTTTCTTGTAATTCTTAGATTAAATTTACTTTTTTTTTGTAGTTGGATGGATTACTATACAGCAGGAAAACCAAGTTAGATGCCTGTGTAGAATTTAGTATAGACGACTCTCTGTTAGTCCGACGGATCACTGGGCGTCTCATACACTCCAACAGTGGACGATCCTACCATGTGGAGTTCAACCCTCCAAAAAAGGAGATGACAGATGATGTAAGTAACCATTTTTTCTCTCATTTCCATGTGTGTAAGATGGAGCTGTCCAGGGTATAAGAAAGGGGTGTAAGAATATTTAGAATCTACCTTATGGTAGGGGATGATAATTTTTCTCTGAGTCACAACTCCACCAACAGTAGTGTAAACAAAAACACACGTGGGGTATAAATATTGTAAGTCACTTTGATGTCACAATTACCGGTGACACATTTTAATGATGTCACAATTGAATTTGTGCTAATCGGCACAAGGCTATCTCCCCCCTCTGGGTGACAAGCTGATCTTTCCCAGCTAAAACGGGGCATACACCTGTGAAGGGTGGGAGAATAATAGAATCTTTCTCTACCTTGAGGGTGTGACAGAGAAATCTCCAACCCGAGGGGTGATTTTTTTGGTTAGACGCCCAAAAAAATCTCCCCGAGGGTATGAGATTTCTCTGTTACACCCTTATGGTAGGGGATGATTATTTTTCTCCCATCCTGTTATTTCAGTCACAACTCCAACGACAATAGTGTAAACAAAATCACATGTGGGGTATGAATATCGTCATTTACTTTTGATGACATCACAATTACCAATGACACAATTTTATGACGTCACAATTGAACACGTGTTAATCGACACGCGAGGCTATCTCCCTCGAGGGGATGGCAAGCTGATCTTTCCCGCCTAAAACGGGAGACACACCTGTGAAGGGTGGGAGAAATTTCTATCTTGAACCCATTTCATGTGATGTCACAACAGGTCGAACAATGACGTGATGAAATTAAAATATTTGAATTTGGAAAACTCTGATGTTGCAATGTGGAAAAGACGATGTGATGAAATAAACACATTTGACAATTTATTGACCATACATTTAAGAAAGATGAAATTAATTTTTCTGCGCTACCTTTGTTTTAAAATATGAGGTATTCCTAATCTCGCTTAGATTTATTTTTGTCAAAAAAGCTCAGGGGAAAAGATGATATTTTCGAAATGGTAATGAGTTCAAACCCATTTTCAAGGTTTCTGGTGAGCTTATTCTGGTGGTTGGAATGATAGAAAAATACTCTTTCATGCCCAATGGTGTAGGAAAGAGAAATTCCACCCTCAGGATTTCGGATTTCAAATCTGCAAAGCATCAGGTTTTACCAAATTTTAAAACTCCTCTGGAGGAATTTCCCTATCCTACACCCCTGGGCATGAAAGAGTCTTATATGATCAGCATGACAATAGGGTAAGGATCCCCGCACCACTGTCTTTAACTGCAAGTACTCATTAAAAACTAAGCAGTGTAATAGCTGAATTGGTTAAATCAGTCAAATGAATACAGGCTCTGATTTCGGGTTTTTTCTTTTCACATTATTAGCTCACCTGGTCCGAAGGACCAAGGTGAGCTTATGCCATACCCTGGCGTCCGTCGTCTGTACGTCAACAATTTCTTAAAAGGACTTCTTATTCTTAACCACTGATTGGAAATCAACTAAATTTGACTGGAAGCATCCCCGGGTGGTGGGGATTCAAAATTGTACAAATGGTGGGGCTGACCCCCCCAGGGGGCTGAGGGGCGGGGCCAAAAGGGGTCAATTTGACTATATTGCTTTAAGCAACTTCTTCTCTGGAACTAAGAAATGGATATCAACCATATTTGACTGGAAGCATCCCTAGGTAGTGTAGATTCAAAATTGTACAAATGGTGGGGCTGCCCCCCCAGGGGGCTTAGGGGCGGGGCCAAAAGGGGGCAATTTGGCTATATCGCTACAAACGACTTCTTTTGTAGAACTGTGCACTGGATATCAATCATATTTGATCAAAAGCATCCCTTGGTTGGTGGGGATTCATAATTGTACAAATGGTGGGGCTGACCTCCTGGGCTAAGGCGTGGGGCCAAAAAAGGTGTATTACTTGGAAATGGTTGAGATCCCCACCATATAAACATGGTATACAATTGCTGAGTATAAAGAGATGATTGCACATATGCTTCGAGGATGGTCTTGGGGACTGCCCCACCCTTGGAGACTTAAACCCTGGGTCTTAACTTCGAAATGGTTAAGATCCCCACCCCAAAACTTTATATACAATTGTTGGGCATGAAGAGACAAATGCAGTCATGATATTAGAATTGACCCCAGGGTCTGCCCCACCCTTGCAGACTTAACCCCTGGGTCATAACTTTGAAACAGTTGAGATCCCCACCCCAAAACTATATATACTAATGCAGTTATGATATTAGAATTGATCCTGGGGTCTGGCCACAACCCTAGGGACCTAGTTTCTGAGTCAAAGCTTGGAAACAGTTGAGATCCCAACCCCATAAACATACATAAAATTGCTGGGCATGAAAAATCTAATACAGATATGCTACAAGAATTGGCCTTGGGTCTGGCATATTCCCTTGATCTCATTTTGCCATGATTGCTTAGGTATCCAGGTGAGCGATACAGGCCCTCTGGGCCTTTGTATGGTAATCCTATCAAATGACCCAATTTCTTGGTTAAAAATATCACGCTGGTATATAGTCAATTAATTTTTCTTTAACAGGTTACGGGAGAGCCTCTGATTAGACGATCAGACGATAATGAAGAAGCTTTAATGAAGCGCCTTGATTCCTACCACAACCAGACTAAGCCCCTGGTGGATTACTACAGCAAGCGACACATCCACACCGCTGTTGACGCATCACAGCCACCCAAAGTTGTCTTCGGTAACATCAGGAAAATTTTCGAACAGAAGCAAATCCTGGCCAATTTAACGGGAAAGCACAGTTGAAAGGAGCAAAGCCTTTTAGTTCATCAATTTATCAGAACAAGGTTTTGACCTTGTGATTTAATAAAAGATACAACCAAATGACAGGGAAACATATTTTAATATAAACATTTGTTATATTGTTTTTTTGGTTTTGTTTGATATATTTGGGGTCCTTTTTCCAGCACTCCTGGCACTAAATGTTTGTTAGCTTTTGCTATGATGCAGCATCTGACGTCCATCAACTTTTCCTTTTTATAAAGCCTACTTGTCTATAGCCTCTAGATCTTGATAAATCAATATTAGGGTTTAACCTTTAACCCTTTCACCACTGTAGACTAAAATGGACTAATCCAAATCAATGCATGGTAGAGTCTACTAAAGTTACATTGGGGTTAAAGGGTTAAAGATACTTTGCTAACAACATTAATACTGGAACAGAACTTGTTTAGTGGCCATACAATTTTAACACATTACCATGTAGGTACTAATTTGAAAGTAAAGATACATGTGGTTATTCGCAAATCTGTTGTATGAGGTGGGAGGCACTTTTATTAATATATAACGGATGGTGGTGGGTTAAATCCAGATCGGCCTATAGCTACCATTTCTCATATTCAATCGGCTTTAATATCCAATGTGTAGTAGCTATATAGGGCCTCTGGAAAGTCATCCTCGATAACAAGGGGTTACCCTTGCTTTCCCTCTTTGCACACCTTGAATGTCATAGTTAAACAAACTGATTGGATTCGTTTAAAACTTCATAGGATGGTTCATTGCTATGAAAGATGGACAAGATCGATAACCAAAATTATTCGCCGGTTATTTACGGAGTTATGACCCTTTGTAGAATTGCCGAAAGTTTTCCCTCAATAACTAAAGTAATTTTTGTTAGATTCATTTCAAACTTCATAGGAAGGTTCATTTCTATGAAAGCTTGCACAATTTCGATCACCATTATCCGCCTCTTATTAAGGGAGTTATGGCCCTTTATAGAATTGACTTAACAGTTTCCGCTCAATAACTTCAGTAATTTTGAATGGATTAATTTCAAACTTGGTAGGAAGGTTCACTGCCATGAAAGCTCAGACAAGTTTGATAACCAAAATTATTTGCCAGTTATTTATGCAGTTATGGCCCTTTGTAGAATTGATGTTATCTCTCCAAAATTTATGCACTTATGGCCCTTTGTGGCAAACTGCTCATTCGACATCCGACGGGCGTATCATGTACCGCTTTGCGGAAATCTTGTTCAGATTTTTATTTCTCAAAGATGAAATTTACTTTTTATTAACTGTTAACAGATTAACAAAATATTGATATTAAATGAAAATGTATCAATGTTGTGCCAAATTTAATTTTAAGAACCGATGTCAGAAATAATGTTGGTACAGTGATAGCAATTTATCTTTTGCAATATTAATGGTGTGTTTTAATGCCACAATTGTATAAGCTTGTATTTTCTTTACAATAAACCTTACTGATGAAATGTTTGAATATCTTTGATGTTAAAAAACTTTTAACCTTGCACGCAGTTTTAACAAATGACAGAATAATAGAGATGGTATTATTTGTTTCCCTTGACAAACAAAATTTCAGAAACAAAATTAAAAGAGGTTCTATTCTAAAAGGCAATGAACTGCTAAAACTGGTGGTCAATTCAACACTGCATATTTTTAGCCCACCATCATCTGATGATGGGCTTTTCAAATCACCTGCGTCCGTGGTCCGTCGTCCGTCTCTTGTCCGTCGTCCGTCCGTAAACAATTCTTGTTATCGCTATTTCTCGGGAAGTATCAAAGGGATCTTTCTCAAATTTTGTATGTAGGTTCCCCTTGGTCCTTAGCTGTGCAGGGCAACTTTTGAGACTGATCGGATAAACAACATGGCCGACAGGCAGCCATCTTGGATTTTGATAGTGAAAGTTTGT